AATCATTTAAGGCGAGAACAGCACGTTTTAACGACGCCAGACATAATAACACTGTTTGTGGTTTGGTGCAGCCAACGGAAGTTGAGGCGACAAATGCTCATGGACAATCGACCCGTTGATGTTAAGCACAGCCGATACTCCCAACCACGGGCCTTCCAATTCCACCAGCAACGCTGGAATTTCATATTCTTCGGAGTATCGTGCAAATTTGTATTGATGAATGTAAAAAGCAATGTTTTGCATTCCGGCGTCGCCTAAACCTCGTTCCAACTTGACTTCCAAGTTCATGCATAGCAATCCTCGCATTCCAGAAAAAATTGAACCGTCATTTTGAGATTTTTCGTTATTCTGACAAAGAACAGGGATGCCAAGATACGACTCCAAAAGTTCACGGAATTCTGTTGCTCGCTGTGCTTCAAGCGAATAATATTGTTGCATTGCCTTGGCAACATTTTCGGCAAAAGTCACGTCTTCACGGGTTATTTCAATCTTTCCTTGACACCCACCCACAAACTCGCTAAAGATTGAATTGAGCAACGTCAAGGGACGGACGTTCTCAGGGCGATCAACTCGATCGCAAATGATGCGACCATCATGCATCAAAAATTTCGACCATACACGGCGATTAGCGAACGAACTTGGGGCCTTAACTTCTTCTGGCAACATTTTAACTCGCTTTCTTGGTGGAGCTACAGCTACTTCGGTCGGAACCATCACCAGCACGTGAACAGGGCCCTTTAGATCCTCTACTTCTTCTTTGCTCACTTGATTCTTCACTTTAACTTCTGAAAGCCCAACATCAACGATTGTCAATCGCGCTGATTTTAGTAATTTTAGATCACTTGTGTCATTCACACCCCTCATCGCTTCTTCTTCCGTAATCCAAGCGCCACGGCCATGGTCTTTCTTAGCCAGAAATAGCTGCAGATTCTTCGGAGCGACATTCCTGAAAGTTGGGTCATCCAAGTTCTTATTCTTGATCGCATCTTTCAACGCTGAAATGGAATCATAACTGTTGATCTTTACCTCGAACGCGCTTCCCACCACACCAACCACAGCACAGTACAGCGTTATCATCTTTTTTCGAGCCTGCGGATTCGGGAATGAAAATGAAATCGGAGAGAATTTCTGTTCGTATTTAAGCGGAAATGAAGGCGTGTCACATAGACTTTTATTCGAGAGGTTGCGTAAAAAGAAGATTTTAAGAAATGTTCTCGGTGGTAGATTCTCAAACAATTTATTCATCGGTCATTGTCTTGAGCTTTCTTTCTACTGCATCGAAATGAGGGTTAATCGTGGATGACCTTCCGAATAAAATGCTACCGCTTATCACAAGAAACAATTAGAATTGGATAACGAAGTGATTTCACGATAACTTAGGTAAAGTTCGGCAAGGTTACAAAAGTTGAATGCATTCAACTGATGTGATTTGTCAGATTATTCAAGCAAAATGGTACCATTAGCACTTGAAATGCCACTCGATGTCTAAAAGTAAGATTCTTCCAGTTCGGTCAAATGACTTTGGTCAATCAGTATATAGTGCAAAATGCCTAATCTCCGAGCAACTGACAATCGTGTCTTCAAGGTAGCAGCAACAGAAGCACCGTAAAATTCGATTGCTGGGAAGAAAGATAATGTGAACAATCTAAACGGTCAATTAGAGATTGAAGATGTGCGTATCGTGTGGATATCGTGAGAAAAGAAGCGGTAAGGAAAATATGCCGTTGTAATGTTCCATGTCCCACTATTTGGTGGAAACGGCCATGTCACACTCAAGGAATCCGAATACTTTGTCCGCTTTGATGTATTCTGCAGCGGGGCTGCCGTAGCGTTTCGCTTGAGGAAACGTAATTTAGGTCACCGATCTATCGTTCTATACTTAGAACAAGTACGCGTTAGCGAATCGCAATCCGATTACTCCAAGTGTAACTATTGCCTTAACCGAGACTAATAAAATTTTCGGTCTAAATTCAAAACTGATTTTTATTGATTTTATTTGCGGCAAAACCGCCTAATTTTAAATGTATAGTAAAACATCGGGGTTACACATACCCTGGTAACAGGGGTGTGTTTCACATCAGATAGGCATGGTGTGACCACGCCCAAACAAGAATACGGTACGGGGCTAGATAGCCAGTATTTATACATGTATTTAGATTTTACTATATATATTCCGAAAAATCTATACATTTAAAATTAGGCGGTTTAGCCGCAGATAAAAATTAAAAAAAATCAGTTTTGGATTTTAAACGGAAGAGATAATTAGCCTTGGGTAAGGCAACAATTACTCTTAGAGTAAGCGGATTACGAACCGCTAGCTCGTACTTGTTTTAAGTATAAAGCGAAAGGTCGGTGACCTCAATAACGCTTCCTCAAGCGCTAAGCTACGGTAGCCCCGCTGCTCATTATCAAAACATATTACCAAATTTCTGATTATTTGATAGCACAAAATTGTAACCTTCATTTTCAGTAACAACTCCCACAAAATAAGGTTATTTTCACACAACAAGCGCTAGAGCAATATATGATGTCGCTACTGCCTCTTCTAAAATATACTGCATACAAATGCCCATTGTAAAGCACGGCCGTACTAATTCGGTAATTTTTATCAGAGATGAAATCTGGGGCCACGACATGCATTGGTTCATTTGATATACTTATCTGAACGACGGGATGTGACATTTTTGACAGTCACATTCTTAAACCGCAAACTCATTGCCTTTTTTTCTTGCAAGCTCTGCTATAGCCACTTAGCAAAATCGTTACCAACTATTGTAGTACTTTAAGATCCTGCATCAATTTCTTTACACGTAGCTAAATTGAATTTGCTGTCTAGCAGCGCATACTTCAACTCGTCCATCGTTGACGACAAAGGTCGATGAGTGACAAGCCAGCGACGTTGCCACGAATACTCGACGTGTCGTTTTAAACCTTTTCATGAGCGTCAAATTGATTACAAAAAGCTGCGTACGACGTGGAGCCGTATGGATCCTCATGACGAAGGCAAGCACGAGGCAATGAGTTCAAGCGGTACCCCCGAGGAGTTTGAACAGCTGTGACATGAGACCCTATTTGGTATGGCACAGAAGGAAATTATTACCCAACAGCAATTGGTGAAAGATCCCCACAATGATAAGTCCAAGTCGAAGGCTGAAGAAGAGGTAAACCCGATGATAATATAATGTTTTCAAGCAGTTTCTCAGTCTCGTACATGTGCTGTGTATCTCGTTTGGTGTAGCATGCGAACGCGATAGAGCTGCAAACAAACGTAGAATTTATGCATCAAGTAAATGAAGTAGTTAAAAAAGTGAATGGTGAAAGAGCCTGATCACAAACTCGTTTCTGCATGATTTGTTCTACATGTTAGTTATTTCTTAATGAAATTTGTTATGATCACAAATTGTGCACATTTTATTGGATATATACTCGTAAAATTTCGTGGTGAAATGTTAACTGTCACCATCCTTTTTAGCGGATCTGCATTAACATATACAACGACAAAATTACAATTATATTTATGGCAAAAGAGTTTTTACTTCTCTGAAAAAATTAGAATTTTGATAGATAAAATGTTTGTTCGGAGTGGTTCTCTGTGGGTGATGTATCAAGCTCACAGAGTTTATAATTCGCTAGTAGTTGACTGATTGAGCTACACAACCGTCACACAGTTGGTTATTAAACTTTTTCATCTACTACAACAGTTTTCTTCATCTTAAAGTATTCATTTTCCATTAGAGTCTTAATAACTACCACATTCATTTTCACGTTTGGTTGATCATATTTCATGCAGCAGCATAAATTGATCATATTTCATATAGGCTCGATTAGCGTGAAAATGATGAAATCATTTCTTGATTTGTAACGAACAATGCTCGATAATCGTCTTCTATTCTTTAGTGTTGTGACTTGATTACGCGTTTTTTCTTGTAATGGCTTGAAGCAATTTCGGATCATCTTGCAGCACTTGGTAAACTTTCAAAGCATCACGGCCCTCTATCAGATACATTTGAATACGTGCTACGTCTCTCTCATGCTGTCTTAGACGTAACAGCTCCTTCGCGTTATACTGCAGCTTACGACCAATGCTAGGATCTGGAAAACTTCTTGCTACACGCAGTACGTCCCGGTAAAGCGTTAGTACATCTCGTCTAATATTACCTGCCATGTATTTTTATTGATTGGCGATAAAAAAATATTACCCGATTTATAAGAATTACGAATGGATATTAATCAAAAGGCTTTTTTTCGATTATGCTCTCATTAAAATAGAAAAAATATATTTCTGCAGTATTTTAATGCATACTAAATATTAATAAAGAAAAATATATCTTTTGAGTACATATTAGTTTCATTACAGCAGTATTGACTGGTAATTTTCTTCGCACCATGCGTACAATAATAACATTTCCAAAGTGCATTTCTTCACTGCAGTCGCAATACTATTTGCTCCACAAGATTTACTCCATTGTGTCTTGTATTTAAAACTTCTTTGTCGCCATGCACACACACCCAATCGATAATTTTTCAACTTGTCTTTTGAAAATTCCTCATCCAGTTGGGCAAGTTCTAACCTCCATAGATCATTCAATAGTGTTGTATCATCTTGGCCTCCAAAGACATAAATATTACCTGGTAATGAATAAACAAATACACTCGAGTCCCAATATCTTGGAACCGGACGGTTTTCGTCCATGTCATCTTGAGATGTTGTCGGAAGAATTCGCCATCCATCAATCATGTCTTCCAAGCGTTTCCAGCGAGCCTTAACTTGAGGTTCAAACCGAGAATTTTTGTCTGGATTCAATAACATCGATCGAGGTGATTTCAGTCCACTACCTACATTAATTATTTCATACGGGGTAAGTAATATCGTACGTCCTGTATGATATCTCCTTTCACCAATACTTGGGCTTTCACGATCGGTAAGTGATCCCAATTGTGTCCATTTAGCAGTCAAAGGAACTCCAAAAGCTGAACTCGGAGTATAATCAAAGCGATATAAATCATTTAGTTCCAATCCAGTATCATCCGCAATTCCTCCAAAGACAAACATACTGTTCTCAAACACGACAACTGAGTGTTGATAACGCGCAGTTGGAACATTTCCTGTGGCAATAAGTGATAGATTTGTCCATGTAAAAGTAGGAACACAAGGTGTAACATCGAATTGTACATCAAAGGAGTTTAAACTTCCAACGAAACCATCAGCTACAGTGTCAGTCACTAACAGTGTCCAGTTTCCAGCAACTGGAAGCTGATGAAACACTGAGAGTGTTTCAAGTGGCAAAATTGACGTTGGTAAACGATCAGGAATCGACACAAAGTGCAAAGTTTCAGTTTTTGGAATACATGGAAGGTGTTCAGCTGCTTGTTCAGGGCTACGAAGTAGAACAGGAAACGCTCTAGAGCTAAAGACTGTACCAGTCGTTCTTATGTCCCTTTGAGTATATTTCAGTCCTTCCTTCTCACTCCATATTGACTCTCGAGTCTGCGAGCTGATAGAATCTTGAAAATTCGCTTGCTGTCTGGAAAAAGTTGTCGATCTTGGTCCAAATAATTGTAATCGTAAGGTGTGTGGACAAGTGTGTGTTAACTTTACAGTCACTGACATATTTGCAATACAAAGTTGCTCACCACTCGTGCTGGCATTCAGACTTCCAGGAGCTGTGACTTCCATTCCATCTGGAATAGAAATCTCTGTAAGCGGAAAAGAATCGAAGGAAACTGCAGTCTCTTTTGCTGTAGTGGACGAGATTGATAACTCCCATAGATCGTTTAATGCTCGAGGTCCATGGAACAAAGTATTGTTGGTGTCTTGGGCATCATTCTGTCGTCCTCCAAATAGTAAGAAACGATCTTTTACTACTGCCATCGAATGCTTTTCTCTTGGAGGTGGTACTAATTCCGATTGAGGTACTAAAGTCCATGTTTCAGTGACCAGATCATACCGCCAAAGCTCATTTGAAACTCCTTCTGGTTGTTGCAGTAAACATGGTACTTTGTGTGCTTGATTGCATTCGTAACTCTTTGCCATTCCACCAAAAAGATAAAGAGAATTTTCCATATATGTGAGTGAATGACCTCGTCTTGCAGAAGGAAATCGAAGTAATGGAGATGAACGTATTTCAGCTCTTGACGTTTCTTTGTCTGGACTGCGCGATTTACATCGTTGCCATCTATTCGTAGGTTTTGAAGGCATACGAACGGTAATTACATCACTGTAAGTATCATGTCCATTGAGTAGCAAACTTTTTAATTGAAAACGGTACGAAGCCATCGGAGTTAGGCCATGAATAGTGACATTTCCTATATCTTCTTTGAAGCTAGGATGAGGTAAAGTAATCAAACGAACTGTGCGAAAGTCTTCATTGACAGAGCCATTGGCCATTTCAATCACAAATCCATCTACACGCTGTGAAAAGCCATAGCGAGGTGCTTTCCAGCTCAAAATGATGCTTGTAGACGTTAGAGGTGACACACGAAATTGTCGAACTCCTTCTTCAGCATCTTGTGGTTGTAAACTTGCATCACTAAGCCCACTTTTCGAAGTGTTAAAGAGATTTTTAAACGAGATAAAGCTACTACCTCCTCCACCACCAGCTCCATCAATTCCAGCGCCACCACCACCTCCTCCAAAAAAACCTCCACCTCCTCCTCCACCTGCTTGTTTTCCGCTTTGGCCACTACCTCCTCGAGCACGTTGACCATTTGACGGCCAACGTGCTGCTGATAAAGGCGATACTAGAATTTCCATAAGCGATGTCTTCGGATTGATATAGCACTTTCCTTCCAGTGAGTATACAAACGATCCACCAGATCCAGCAACACCTGCAGCTGTAAGAGTGGCTCCTTTTCCACCAGTTGCTAAGACAGAATAATTAGCAGAGCTTGCTGCAAAGCCCCAATCAAGATGTTGATGTCTTGCTGAAAGCTTTGCCAAATCTTGATTATCTCCTGCTACATTCAAGGCACGATACTCATCTCGACCTCTTTGATCAGTCATCTCATTGTTAAATGGTATCGTGCTAGCATCAGGGTGATGACCGGATTCTGCTTCGTTCAAATCACCTCCTCCACCGCCGTGAGCACAACAATAATCTGTTGAACCAGCACCGCCCCCCCCTGCAGCTACAAGAATTGTACGTCCTCTAATTCGCACTTCAGAGGCTCCACCACCCCCTCCTCCTGAAATATCACCTGTTCCTCCACTTCCTCCTCCATGAAATCCTCCTCGTCCGTCTTCGTGACCTCCTCCACCCACAATGATATCAACAACATCACCAGCATCAACACGAAAGAGTCCACGTACAAAGGCACCACCGCCACCATTGCTCAAGTCACTTGAAACACGATTCAGCGACCTTGAACCGGCGCCACCAGCACCCCAAGCATAGATATCGAGAGCAATAATTCGATATGTCACGTACTGTGCTTCACTTTGGACTTTATACGTTTGAATCCCACCTGAAAAGAAAAACGAACGTTCAGCTAGTCGTTCACCAGTCCATGTGACTGGAAAGACGAGAACAAGCCCGTGATCCCCATCATGTGCTTGAGAACCTCCCATTCCTCCATTCCCAGTCAAGTGAATGTAGTACTGGTCTTGATTATTTGCGCTCTGCTGACGAATCGCAGGAAGCACCTTGTATCGTATTCCAATGGTGTTGTTGATACTTGAACTGCTTATTATCTCGTTTATTGTATAATCAGTTAAGAACTTTACAGGCTGCGTAAAAGGACCAGCTTGATGCTCAGCGATAGCTCGAACGCGAACGACGTACATGGTATACCCAATCAATGATACTTTTGAGACGTTTGCAACGTTTTGGATCGAATCGACGAATTCTGGTGCTAGTCGAATCCACGTAGAGCTAAGTGTTGTGCGGTATTCCACGTCATACGCCAAAATTTCTACTGGGTGACCTCCTAAATCATTTGGTGCCTCCCACACAACGATTAAAGGATTTCGTAATAGACGTAAGTTTAAAACAGCGCCCGGGGCTGTTCGCAGCGTTGTAAACGGTGTTGACGACATACTGTATGGCCCGATGCCATTATCATTTATTGCAGCGACACGAAAAACACACGTTGATCCTGGCGCACGCCTTAAAGATGCAGCGACAGTTGAAAATGTAGCACTACTGTCGCGAAAATGAGGTTTCACACGCTCGCTAATATTAGTCCAACCAATTTCGCTGTCACACTGTTGCTGAACTTGAAAATTTGTTACAGGGAACAACCGAGTGGTTAAGACGTCGTTGTCGATATTTACATCGCGAAACATTCGCCACGAAATCGTCAATTGGGTCGATGATGCGGCCAGTAATGTCGGAGCCGAAGGTGCGCGCGGTAGTCGCGTGGCTGGAATCTTCAGTACCTTGGTACTTGTACTCCATGCGGTCCATCCGATATCGTATGAAAATAGTGCTCGGACACGGAATGACAACGTTGTTCCAGTTTGCAATTCACTCACCTCAAGATTACACACATCTGAACACATACGACGATTTTTTTCTGGAAAACTCGGCGACTTTCGCAAATATTCGATTGCAACTTGATCTCCACTACCAGTCCATTGTGCAGTCATTGTCTCGGTATATAATTTAAGTAATGGTAAAGGCTCTTCGCTATTATATCTTACATGTTCGAATATAATGATCCATTCGAACGATCCCGGTGTATCCAATTCATGCCGCAAGACTTGCACTGCTAGAATTTGTTCTAAAGACTCAAGTGCTAACTTCATTATGTCTACAGTAGCATCAAATGGAATCCAGGGCGTCACGATACCGTTTAGCATAAGTCGAAATGCACCATTGTTGATTGTCTCTCCAGCGTCTGCTCGAGTATAAACGCGTTGCTTGGGAGATTGTGAGGTCATTTGAGTACCAGGCTGAATAGTTAAACCAGTCAATGAATCACCTAATGAATGCCAGTCACCAGATCCTGAAACTGCATATTGTACTTCATAAGCTTTGACGCTATTTGTACCTCCATTGGCTTCGAACATATTGTCAAAGGAGGTCCATGTAACTAGTGCATCGGCAACGCCTGGATTCCCAGGTACTAAACGTACCACTTGAGCATACACTCGTCGATCTTGTTGAGCCCTTTGAGATTGTACGTTTATTAACAACGTACATAAGACCCATCCACTTATCCACCGCATGTTAGCGACCTTTGACAAGAACGGATCTAAAAAATATATTGTTGTCTAATCATATTACTTTGTTTTCAAGCGTTGTTCTCTAGCCTATCGACCATGCATTTGGCTATTTGTGCAGAGGACAAGACTCAATGCTTAAATAATGAAGATTCATTTTTTGCTTGCAGTAGTAGCATGGGGATGAAAACTTATGGGATTGTTCAAATAGACCACGAAAGACATTACAAGTCGTTTACGCTTCTGATGATTTTTAGGGTATTGCTAGTAATTGAGTGAGTACTTAATAGCGGAGTGTCCGCGTGATACTTAGCGAGTATGTGTGTACTACAGCGAAGTCTCTTGAAAGCACGCGAGAGATTAATCTTGCTTTGATCTTTGGCCCATCCACTACATTCTTCATGCTCTTTATAGCTTCTACATATTAAGAAATTTATTGTCAAAGATAAGAATTTACTGTATCCAGAATCCTTTGTTAATTTTTCATAAAGAATGGTTGATAAATCTTCTTAAATGAGGCATAAGTACACACATAGGGAGCTCTATCGTACACGAAGTTTATGATTATGACTCAGATTTGTCGATAGAGCTCGAACACTGCCAGTTGAATGGTAAAACGCGGTATGATAACATCGGAGGTGAGTCACCTAAATTTTGCTAGTTCAAAATGATGAAAGAAAATGCCTTGAACTCTGAAGGAGTTTCGTTTGCTCCGGGGGAGCGATAGTAGTAGCGGTTGGGAATGATCTACGAAGACAGAATGGATACAGTAACATGGTGTGGCATGCTGTGCCAATAGAAAAGCAGGCGTAAACGGAGATCCGAGTGGACAGGAAGAAAAGATTGGTGGAGGATCTCTAAATTCGCCACTGTAGTCTGTAAAGTTTCGGATGTCATCCCCGAGATCGCGGGTTGTACAGTAGCGGGGAAACAGCGCGATCAATTAGTTGCTGCAAGTCGTGGTGGATGAGGACTGTCGATTATTTTGACTTGCGCTGATTAGAGGTAGCGCTGTAGTTGGAGATGAATGGACCTTCGGATCCTGTAATTCTCACTAAATGCTAGAAGGACTTTCATGGAATGACGCATCCGGTAACGTAATTCTGCTAAAAACCGTTAGAAACACAAGCTCATAAGCTTGGATCCATCCAGCATCCATAAAATTGAGCAGTGAATGACAACCTATCAAGCCAGCAAGCTGCAATGGAGATTGGAGTTTGGCCCCGACTGCACCAAATAATGGGGGACCATCTTCTTGCAGGGTGGGTGGAATAGATCAAAGACAATTGGAGGTATACATGATCTACGTGATCATTGAGTGGCGGCTAGCGCAGTCTTTATTTAAACTTTCACGTGAATAGCCTCCAGGAACTGAGTAATTTAACAGCCGCCGCTGCAAATTGAAACATGCAACGGCAGCTTAGCATGTTTATTGGGGTTGTATTATTAATTACGTCAAAGACGATCACCCCGACGTAGTTCAGCGACCTATACACGTCATAGCTATATCTTCAAGAATGGCAAAGAGTTGCTGCACTGACTACATGTGTCGAGCGACCAGAACAGGAATCTGGAGTCCAATTTGGTTCCATAGTCGTGACAAATTGCCGGCTTTGAAAGTTTCACGAAATGACAGAAGAAATCCCCTCATCGGTCAGATGATATATTTCAGGAATCGACTAAAGTCCGTTAATCATAGCTTCTGGAATCGAAAAATGAGTATTGAAGCGCCATAGAACTGATAGAATATTGACGTACTAAATTATAATCGACCTCTATATGTACGAGCGCGAGGTTCTCGTCAGCTATTTGCGTCCTAATTTGTACTTCTGAAGCCGCGCTTACTGATGCATCTATCTCGATTGCAAAATATGTGACGGCTGTAACGGGGTTACACGTGCCCTTGTGAGAAAGGGCGGGTCGCACAAGGTTGTGCGACCGTACATAGGTGTGGAATACACAGTTATTGTAATAGCACAGTGGTGTGGCTACACCGTAACAGGAAGCCATCGTGTGGCAGGATTGCCAGTAGGATTAAAAATTACCATATTAATTAGGCTTTGCTATATTAATAAGGTATTACTTTATTAATCAAGAAAACCTAGGGTGTCAAATATAAGCGGCTCCTCCGCAGCTCAAACAATTAAATATTTTTGAACAGAAGCGTTCATTTGCCTTGAAAAGACTTAGAGGTAGAGGATTGCGATCCGCTACATCTGTACTGGTTCTTTGAAAGAACGTAAGGTCGGTGACCTTAGCTTAGCTTTATCTAAGCAAAGAGCAACGGTAGCCCCGCTGCAACAGCAGCCGGAGTCGCAACACCCACGCGCGATTCAGACAGGGTTAAAGCGAATTCTTGAAGCGATAGCAGCTGAGACTTGTCGAGCAGCAGTCATGCATCAAATCCAGCAGAGTAATTCTGGCACAATATCAACTGAACAGGACAAGCCAGTTAGAGAGTGAGATAATCAACATTTGTAAAGTAGAGCCATAACCAGTCAAGATGTAAATGCCGTGCTGTCGCGCCCCTCAAAGAAGGTTTAAAAGTGATTCAATTGGAACATGAAATGGCAGCTAGGGGATATGATTCCTTTGTCTCACGTCACGTGAAGGGAAGGGATTTCTTTATCCACGTCACGCGAGCAGACAATCCAACCTGGAGCAAATCGCTTCTTGACATATTTGCTTCAGCATCAGCAAAATGAAGACAAACGCAATTGCGGAACAAAGGACCACGACCAACGCCCGAAACAAACTACGTCGAGAAACGAGCGCTGATCCCTCCTCGCGACGTTTTTGGAGTAAACTCTCGATGTTTTGCAGAAAAGGCGCATGATGAGGAAGCCTTCCTCAAACGGAGCCTTTTTATCAAGGAAGATAGACATGATGCGGCGTAAACAGCTGCGACACCCGATGATTGACCGTTGCTAGTGCGGTAGACAGTGCATGGAATAAAATCAGCGCTCCCAGAGAGAATCCCACTCGGAATATATATTGCAATGCAAGGAATGTCAATGTCTTTCATGATCAGTTGATACTATTATTAACTAGGTCACGAGCACTAAACACAGTAATCTCGACTATGCCGTTCTGCATCAAGCTCTTTAAGCTCAATTTATCTTGATTAAAGCACGCAAATTTCAGCACTAGCCGTTAGCATTTCTGGCGCAGATTGTCGGTTTCAAGACGATTTTATACTCTCTTAAACTAACCCTGCTTCGTTAAGAGTGAGTTTTGCATCGTTACAACGGAACGTTGTATGGGCCACTGGCGAGTTAGGCAATATTTGGCTCAAGGTTCAAGTCAATTTTGTTCTTGGGACTTATGTAAAGGTAATCTTGTCAACGCTTCGTTGATGCACTATTCAAAATCTATAAAGTTTAATCCAAAAAGCTTGTTGATCCCCTTTTTGCACTTCAAATCTTTCGGTGTACTCAATCATTGAGTTATTCATGACGGACAATGAGCTCATATCCTCTTCAATACGAATCATACCCATTCGGTGACTTCATCGTCATGCAAATATTTGCAAATATACACTTGGGATAGCTCTCCAAGCTCGACGATAGCTTCCATCCAAATGATCGGAAGAGACTTGCGCACATATGACTACTTTCGTACGAGTTAATGACTCTTTTCGCCACCAGCACGATCAGTATCACTGCTCTGCGCGGTGCGCAAGCGAGCGCTGACTCATTCCTTCCGCTCATTTGTGAGATAAAAAAATATTTTCAATAACTTCAGAGCCTGGGACTTGTGTTTGCAGCAGCACATCCGTTCGCCTCCACCGTCTTTCGTTCGAGAGATTGCGGTACTTTGCTGCTCTGACTCGTATTCACAAGATCACACCCGACAAATAGTCATCAATAAACGATCCACCAGAAATAATATCTTGAAACCCATTATAAAGCTACGCTGATTATTGTCTCAGCAGGTACATATTTAGAGACATCAATACACAATCGCAACTTTCTGCCTGATCAGAAGACATCTACCCACTGCCGCTTCTTCCTTCCAAACATTATTCGGCCACCGTTGGTTGTCAATGCGGGCAACACCACATCCTGCGTCGAAGCTTCAGCTTCATGCCCTTGCCAAATCCGGTCAACTTTCTAACGGATGTGGGTTGATAGCTCACCACTGCACTGTTGAGATAAATAGGTCGATCCTGATGTTTTCGACTTCCAATCGATACGTAGGTCATGGCGTTCAGGCTCTAAACACATACAATCTTCCACGCTGTCAAATTTTTCAAAACTTACAGGAGGACTCAAAAGTCCTTGACACTTTAGTGTCCTTGTCGCTTACACACCGATTTTGCATTCATATTCGAATTCTCCAATGCCTCCGCGTACTGTCTACGCTTTTATAGTCGCGCATCGTTCGTAATTCACAAAGCTTTTTTATTCTGTCGGAATTTCCTAGGAGTTCAAAAAGCCAGAAGCGTTGATGGAAAGAATTTGTGACCCTGAGCTATGAGCTCTAATCCGTTTAAAAGTGAATAGCATTAGGTCCCATTATCCTCGACATTCACAATGTAATATAAAACCCGGTCTGTTTCCCGCTGGTCGCCCTGCTCCTTTGAACGACACGTTTCTCACGAAGATTTATCGGGAGGTTCCACTTTGAAGTCTGACTTATTACACCACTCAGGTGCAGAAGAAGGGTGTGTGAGATTTGATCAAGCCACAGTACTAAAATCTGAAATGAATTGTGCTCCTTGGTAGCTCATGAAAACTGGTTACCTTCTCTACCTGACTTAAGTCCATTTGCCTTTGGTGCGCCGTAGATTTTGCGACTTTCGCGCTCTGACTAGCCCTCGCGGCACATAAGCTCTGACATACAACCTCTTATCAATGCGATAATCACTGCTTCTTTGGAAGTGAGAATGAAAACGCGGTAATTTAGGTGCGAGTCGCATCTGTACGAAAACCCTTCATGATGATGGCAACTGTTACAGCTTTCACAAGACGATATGTCACTATTGCGGCGATTCGAGTTATCATCTTGGACACAGCCCGTAATTTTCGGCTGAGGACAAAACTTTTGGCCACATACAGTACGTCCTGGCGGTATAGAACATCTGCTACATTAACAGTTCCCATGTCTAATATACATTTTTAAAGATACCACGCATTTTGCAGCGTGGTGTCCAAGCTTAAAGACCACAAGCGTGACGCATCGATGCGCTGTCTTGGGTATGGCCGAGCTAGTGGCCAACTCAGCTTTTCTTGACCTGAAAGAGCGATCATACCCGTCGCAGCTAGCAAATGGCTGTACCCTTAACACAAGCAGCAAGACGGCTAGAGCCGGTTGTGTTAGTAATCACCGACGTCATTTAATGTTGTCCCTGAAGCTGTATCGCCAGCGCACTCTCACATCTGGTTAGCGCCCTCAAGAGAGCGATCACCGCTTCCAATCTTCGAGCCACCAGCTATGTTGTCCCCGCGGGACCACCTAACAGCATGAGCTTATCAAATCGTGTTTGCTTGTACCGAGGACGGGATTTTAAAGTGTTCAATATTCTTCGAAGATATAGTCTGGTCATGCAGCAAGGCTACCGAAGCTAAGTGCTTA